ATTAGCAGGATCAAGGCAAATCGAATGTCAAGATTAAGGAACGGATGCCCAGAAGCCATTTTTCGGATCCCTTAGCAGCATTGTAAAGAACCCACGTCGTTGCAAAATGCAAGGCACACTGGCCGATTCATGGTTTTAACAAAATAGTTCATTAAAACCCAAGTGTGCCAATAATTTAGTTCAGGGAAATTTGGTCCATTTTTTTTGTTTTTATTTTTATTAAATTATTTATAAAACATAAATTAAAGAAGTCTCTTGTATTGAACAGTAAATTAATGATATCTGAAAATATTTTTCTTCATTAAAATATCAGTATATTAGATAAAGAAAAATAGCCTTTAAGTTCAACATGCTTGCTGTGCCAATAATTAAGTTCGTCACTGTATATGCACAAATGCATATCGACACATTCATACATATGTAGTCTTTGCGCCATCTACATTGCACGGAAAACTCTTATATTGCCGGGACCCCAAAACAATAAATAAATATTGCCCAAACCGGGGCAGGAAGGGTAGCAAGAAGAAAGCGGAAATATAATGCGGGCACGGCGATCATTGACTCGCGGACACTTTTAAAATTTTTTCGAAAACTCCACGGTTGTTGCCAAAAAAGGCGGTAACGTAGAAACGAAAGTTTTGGTGTCAACGGCATTTGCGACGATGCTGATACAGACTCGCCAAAACGCCACTTACGGAGCGAAGTCAACTGCCAGGCGCCTTGGGTCTTCGATCACGGCTGCGGTCTTGGCTAAGATGTAAACGTATCCACTGCGCACGACAGACTGGCCCACCTGAAACATACTGACACGAGTCTGTACGCAAATCACAGTGTTGCCGCAACATGTTTCTTTTGGAAAAGCCCCTGGGAAGTGAAAAACGGGAAAGAGCTAAAACCACAGCCGGGAATGAGAGAATGCCCGATCGAAGGGCAAAAAATACACTTTTTAAAATGTTCTCCTCCGCTCCGCTTTAACAAAGAAAATAACCTTGTTGTCCACAAAGACATTTTATTTTTGGTCGCAAAATGTTGTTATCAGAAATTTCTATTCAAAATAAATACGGGCTATCAGCCGAATTGCAGTGCCAACACCACAACTGAGAAAAGCAGCATCCGCGGCCCCAGTAATCATCAGCTTATAATAACTTCCCGCAAAATAAATGTTTCATGTCCTAAAATTTGATATTTGTTCTATTCCTCTGATCGACTAACATAAGTGAGTGAACAGATATGTAAAAGACTTCGGCAATGTGTACACATTTTTTTTTAAATATTTTGTCAATCACCATAATTATAATAATATTATTAAACAAGAGAGAACGCTATAGTCGGGTGCCCCGACTATCAGATACCCGTTACTCAGGTAAAGGGAGTGCGAGGGAGATGGAGATAGAAATTTTGATCACGCATAACTTTTTAACGAATGGTCCGATTTGAAAAATTTCTTCTACATTTCGATAGGTATTGATAAACACAATAAAACTGCATTTTTACTTTTCCGAAATATTTAAATTTTTAAAATCGTGTATAAGCGATTTACTCTACGAGTAACGGGTATAATCATTAATTGTACATTTTTCTCCTTCGGGAATATACAATTACAAACTCATTCGGTTTGGGGTTTAAATATTGACGCTAAATATAATAATAATAAATAGGAAAAATATGTAAAAACCATAAATAATATTTTGGTTTGTTATTTTTTATGTTTTAAAGGTTATAAGTATTACAATCTATTAATTTGCATATTATCATTATTTAAACAAGAAAGGAAGCATATAACCTTGCAGTTATTAAAAAACGACTACGTTTCGATTTGTATGCCTATTATATATACAAAAAACAATGAAGCTATGTCGATTTTGCCCTGCATTTCGCCATCGTTTCTATGGCACCTATATTGATATTGTGGTCCGATTAAGAGAAAACTAATAGCGTAATTCTGATATTGTAAATATTTACTATATCTCAAAGAAATATTTTGATAAATTCCATAGTATCAAAAAAAAATTTAAAACAACAAAGTTATACTTTTAAAATTTTTTTTCGATTTTTCCTATGGGAACTATATAATATAGTCGCCCGATCCGGCTCGTTACGACTTATATACTACCTGCAATAGAAAGACAACTTTTGGGAAAGTTTCAAGCAGATGGCTTTAAAACTGAGGGACTAGTTTGCGTAGAAACGGACGGATGGACAGACGGACATGGCTAGATCGACTCTCCTGGTGATGCTGATCAAGAATATATATACTTTGCAGGGTCGAACATGTCTCCTTCACTGCGTTGCAAACTTTTGTCTGAAATTATAATACCCTCTGCAAGGGTATAAAAACGACTGTGGCTCCTGATTTACTTATTTTCGTGTATGCTTGCTGCTCTCGCTCTCATACAAATACAAGGCATATAACCTGGCCATTTACGATATTCAAGAAAATATTTTGAGTCTTTTTTGCTCGTACCTGCTCTTGACTCGAATTTCATTCAAAATTTTTGTTGTTCCCTCTTAACCTTTTTTAATACTTTTTAATGTTTTTTTACACAATTCATTTGTTTTATTTTTTTTTACTTTGCAGAAACATATATTTTAAAAATTCGCTCATCACACTTTTCTCAGACGATTCCACCGAAAAAGCGCTTTGTTCAAAACATTACATTCGCCTTTTTGACCTTATCCGATTTCTCTTACCAACTTTAAGTCCAAGATGGCCTCCTTTAAGCCTCCCTTAAGATCCGACTAGGGTCCGAAAGACTATACTAGAGCACCCGGCGAACTTTGTCTCGCCCCTATTTCACGACTTCATATAATCCCAGAGTAATAATAAAACACTGGTAATTCAAATTTCATAAAAATTTATTTGACTCGAAATCTCCACTGATCGATGTGATAAACAATATTTTTATACCCGTTACTCGTAGAGTAAAAGGGTATATTGTATTCGTGCAAAAGTATGTAACAGGTAGAAGGAAGCGTTTCCGACCCTATAAAGTATATATATTATTGATCAGGGTCACTAGCCGAGTCGATATAGCCATGTCCGTCTGTCCGTCTGTCCGTCTGTCCGTCTGTCTGTCCGTCCGTATGAACGCTGAGATCTCGGAAACTATAAAAGCTAGAAGATTGGCATTTTGCATGCAGATTCTAGGAGTTCCTACGCAGCGCAAGTTTGTTTAAAAAAGGTGCCACGCCCCCTTTAACGCCCACAATCGCTAATATACGATTTTAAAAATTTAAATATTTCGGAAAAGTAAAAATGCAGTTTTATTGTGTTTATCAATACCTATCGAAATGTAGAAGAAATTTTTCAAATCGGACCATTCGTTAAAAAGTTATGCGTGATCAAAGTTTCTATCTCCATCTCCCTCGCACTCCCTCTACCTGAGTAACGGGTATCTGATAGTCGGGGCACCCGACTATAGCGTTCTCTCATGTTTCTTTTGTTATCCGGTGCAAATATAAATAATGATGACGGCTTTCCCACACGCGAACAGGCTATGTATAACTGCCCATGTGAAAAACATTGATATTCCAGATTAATCCCGCAGACATCCAACAATTGGCCTTGCGATTTATTGATTGTCATCGCAAATGCCAATCGAACTGGGAACTGAATCCTCTTGAATTGGAATGGAAGATCTGTTGGAATAATCGGAATTCGGGGGATAAGAACTTCCTCCTTTAAATTTGCCCTTAAGGGGTTATATACCTTTTTGAGCGAAAAAATTGAGGGAACTTTGAATTTTTTTCAGGTGTGTAGCAATTATTTTATGACACTGAAGTTATTATTTATTGATAGTACATGTTTTTATCGAAACAACAAGCGTTTGTTTTTGAAAAAAATATAAATAATTTACGAAGTTATGGCAATTTTCTCGGAACCCTTTTTTTGTATAGCGGCTTGCGGTGACCACGATGGAAGTCCAGCAGGTCAACTGAAATCAAAAAACCAAAAAATTTGTATTAGTATAGTATTATTTCCAGTTCGTGAATGATTATTTTCAAGATTATTTGGTATTTTCTGCATGCAGTAACAATTTTTCCAAAAAGTTGATTTTTCGAGTTCTAAAAATGTTATTAAAAAATTCTGATCTGCAAAATCAAAATTGGCACATAAAAACCGAATCGTTCACGAACTCGGCACAATCATTACGAATAATTAAAAAAAAAATTGAAGTAGATCGATCAAATGGTTCTTGTGCAATCGCGGTCACAGCAAAGGCACTTTTGGAAAAACACGACTTTGAGATAATCGCATTCAAAGTTTTACGTTGAGTATATGCAACAATTGAAGTCGAGCAGAGAAACGCTGATTTCCTATCGAACTATTATTCGAATCTCTATGAAAATTTGGGAAAATGTTCTCTAGGGGATATACTTTAGGATTCAGCAAAAAAAAATTTTTGTTTTTAAAAAAAAAAAGGTATATAACCCCTTAATAATCGCCGCAGGAATCACGTTGTTCATCAGATTTTTAACGGACAACCGCGTACCGTTGCATAATCTCGGATGATTTAGATTCCGCAGCATTATATAAATTGATCCCACTTTCAGTTGCAAATTATGCGGCGGAGTTCCTGGCACACCTGTGAGTTCCAAAATTCCTTCGGATAGTTGGTCGCTTCATCCTCGTCGGTCACGCAGTCAACGGATCTGTATGAATGCAGTTCTCCAGCGATTTGACTTTGAATAACGAAATTCAAACTATCTACGTCCTTATTCTTCGTTGTTCTCCGTTCTGCTCTTTGCGCTGCGTTCGCGTCCGTAAAGTAGACACGCTGGCCGTTCTCCAAGTGAACAGATAAGTGCACGACAGTCGGGTGACGTTAATGAATCGGGAATGAAAATAACCGCCAATTGGCCTCGTTACCTCATCGTTTGCATTCGGATCAATGGATATACATCCTGTCCACTGGGAAATGGTTTTGTGCAGTTTCCGTTATCCATGCATACTGATTCTGGGTTGTGGACTCCGCAAGGGCCATGGATCATGCTTGTTGTCACAATGGAATGCAGCCCGGGATCAGTTTGTTTATCTGGTATTTCGGCTGAAATAATCGAACATAAGTAGCTGGGAGAATGGCCAAACAACCGATTTTGGCCGCGTGTCCTTCAGTAGCGATGGCGTCACGCAAGAGGATGTACTCGTCTGAGCGCAACTTCGACTGATTGAAACGAATGAAATTGAGACGCTCCGTTTCTACTTTGACGTACATGTCGACACAGTACTGTTGAAACAAACGGCGGTATCTCAACAGATGATTGTCAACATCTAGTCGAATCATCAATCGATACGCATAAATATTCATAGAGCTGACCTTATTCGTTTCATCTCCTAAAATTTAAATTAAAACTTAGTTGTAGAATCAAAAAGAAGTGATGACTTGTAAACAAACCTGTCGTTGGATTGACCATCTTTATGTTAAAGTGATACCCATCTTCTCCACGACAGAACATCAACGGGTTTTGAAGTGCATCATATGACCGATGAGTCTCATAAACTCCCTGCAATTGGCCATCATCCCGTCGCTTGAGAACAATATCGCGTGATTCCACATTCTCGCCAACAATCACCACTGCGACTTCATTAATAGTGGGAGCATTAAATTATCTTGCATGGCTTCCAGTGGGCCTTTTGTCAGCGCTGATAATGATTTTGTGGTCGTCAGAATGCATTGTATCCAATGCGGTTTTGAACAATCTGACCAATTCATTACGCTCATGTAAAAGATATTGCAATTGTTGTATAATTTCACGTTTAGTTGCAGTGAAAATTGCACAACGCTGATTTAGTTCATCTTCCGAATTACCAATGATCTGAAGGAATTTATGATCTGTGTTTGGTGGTGGTAACAAAGCGCCCGCTCGATAGTGAATTTGCCCTTGAATCTGAATGTTGGGATGTAATTTTGAAAAAAATGAGAGTTGTTCATTTTGATAATAAAGGGACGCCATTACCTTATAACTCGGATTGTAGCCTGGTTGATAAACAACCTCGGCTCCAAATGACGTAATTTTAAAGCATCCGTTATATTTTTGTGCAAGCTTTAGGAAACTGTTTGATTGGGATGAATTTCCATATAGTAGCGAATACAATGGCTCTGGTGGATGAGCTAAAACGGGCAATTTAATTTTCCCACCTGCACAGCATAAGCCGGGGGTTTCCAATCGAAACTTCAGTGCATTGCAATGCTGACATACGATAAAAAAATGAACCAATAACAACGCAGCTATGATCTTTGTAGGGTGTTTCGGAATTGTATGCGAATGCAGCGCGATTCAAGTTTTCATTTGCGGCTGGTCTTCTATTCAGATTTTGTCGGGCTTGAGGTGGTCTGTGCAATTCGGGCACGTGCCGATGCATTTATTTCAGCACGAACGTCTTGCGTTCGATTATTGCGGACATTCTGAGAATGTATCGCATTGCGTGAACGACGTCCAAGTCTTGATCTAAAAGCATGCATTATTTCCAATTAAAACTTTGGCAATGTTTCGTTGACTCGATTTTTTACAGTTTTATGTACAACAATGAAGGCATTATTTCCAAAGACTGCTGTTTTAACAGTTTTATGTACAACAATGAATACATCTCTTGAGCCGATAGCGACTTTTCCGGCAGGTTTTCCCAAAATTTTCTTATGTATTAACCTTCTTCTGGTAATTACAAACAACTGAAAAAAATTTGAGCCAAATCGCCCCAACCGTTCTCTTGTTTTGCGATGGCGTACATTTTTTGCACCATTTTTATACCCTTGCAGAGGGTATTATAATTTTGGTCAAAAGTGTGCAACGCAGTGAAGGAGACATCTCCGACCCTATAAAGTATATATATTCTTGATCAGGATCACCTCCTGAGTTGATATAGCCATGACCGTCTGTCTGTCCGTCTGTCCGTCTGTCTGTTTCTGCGCAAACTAGTCTCTCAGTTTTAAAGATATCGAACTGAAACTTTGCACACACCCTTCTTTCCTTTCCACGCAGTATATATGTCGGAATGGGATCGGCCGACTATATCCTATAGCTGCCATATAACTGATTTATCGGAAATGCCATAACTTTGGTGTTTGTTAAGTTAGGAAGTTGGAATTTTCTATGGGTTTTATTTTTGGCCAATCAATCCGACCTATTAAATTTCATAAGGATCGGCCCACTATATCCTATAGCTGCCATATAACTGAACGATTGAAAATGCCATAACTTTGGTGTTTTTAAAGTTAGGAAGTTGGGATTTTTTTTGAGTATTAAGAATGCATCATATGAATAATTTTGGAGAATATAATGTACATAATATTCTGCAAGGGTATATCAACTTCGGCTCCGCCCAAAGTTAGCTTTCCTTTCTTGTTATATATAATATATAGATTAAAAAGGAAAAAGGAAAAATTTCCAAAGCAGTTTTTTAACTGTTACTACTTATAACTTTTGGACAACTGCCAAATCTCTGAAATGTTATTTATGTAAGTTTAAATAAAGAAAATAAGCTTTTTACTGTAGATTTGAAACTTTGAAGTAGAAATTGTGGACTATAAAAAAACAAAAAAACTGCTAAGGATCAGTTCTTCAAATACCTCTGTACTGCATTTAAAAGCTAGGATGACAACTATGTACCGGCTTCGGACTCAAAGAGTTCGGTGGATCTCTACCTACGAGGGGCATTTTCCAAAGAAATTGACCTTTTTCGTCTGCTACGAATTTCCATTAGGAATAGCTAGCCAAGAATTCAAGACAATCTTTGGCTTACCTCACCAGGCTCGATCCCTCTAATCTCTTTTGTCAAGATGTCTTACAAAATGTATTTATTTGCTTGGACATTATTTTTAAAGTTATTCAGTCAAATAGTTAAAAAAAAATAGTTTTAAGCTCTAATCGGTTGAGCGCTATAGGACTATGGTCCTATCAGTGTCGTTTTTAAACTTTATCTACGTGCGCACATAAAAATACAATTGCGTAAGTTTTGAGTCAGATAGCTTTAAAACTGAGAGACTAGTTTGCGTAGAAACGGACGGACTCTCCTGGTGATGCTGATCAAGAATACTTATACTTTATAGGGTCGAAAATGTCTCCTTCACTGCGTTGAAAAATATGACTTTTGTGTTGAGTTTATTTATTTTCTTTTATTTTTATACCCGTTACTCGTAGAGTAAAAGGGTATATTGTATTCGTGCAAAAGTATGTAACAGCTAGAAGGAAGCGTTTCCGACCCTATAAAGTATATATATTCTTGATCAGGGTCACTAGCCGAGTCGATATAGCCATGTCCGTCTGTCCGTCTGTCCGTCTGTCCGTCCGTATGAACGCTGAGATCTCGGAAACTATAAAAGCTAGAAGATTGGCATTTTGCAAGCAGATTCTAGGAGTTCCTACGCAGCGCAAGTTTGTTTCAAAATGGTGCCACGCCCCCTTTAACGCCCACAATCGCTAATATACGATTTTAAAAATTTAAATATTTCGGAAAAGTAAAAATGCAGTTTTATTGTGTTTATCAATACCTATCGAAATGTAGAAGAAATTTTTCAAATCGGACCATTCGTTAAAAAGTTATGCGTGATCAAAGTTTCTATCTCCATCTCCCTCGCACTCCCTTTACCTGAGTAACGGGTATCTGATAGTCGGGGCACCCGACTATAGCGTTCTCTCTTGTTTTTGGTTTTTGTTTTGCAGTTTGATATTTGTACCGACTAATTTGAAAATATTTGTCATTTGAAAAACTAACGTGGCAATAAGAAAGCTAAAACGGCACATGGTAAAGGAGAAAGAATTTTGAAAAAGTTTAAGTACTAACATATTTACTTTTATATTTATTTTATAACAAAATAAATCGAAAGAAATTTAAACAAGAAAGGAAAGCTAACTTCGGGCGGGGCCGAAGTTGATATACCCTTGCAGAATATTCTGTAAATTATGTTCTCCAAAATCGGATCGGTTGCCCAAAAATAAAACTCATAAAAAATCCCAACCTCCTAGCTTTAAAAACACCAAAGTTATGGCATTTCCGATCGTTCAGTTATATGGCAGCTATAGGATATAGTCGGCCGATACTTATGAAATTTGGTAGGTCGGATTGATTTGACAAAAATAAAACCCATAGAAAATCCGAACTTCTTAACTTTAAAAACACCAAAGTTATGGCATTTCGGATCGTTCAGATATATGGCAGCTATATGATATAGTCGCCCAATCCGGCTCGTTCCGACTTATATACTACCTGCAATAGAAAGACAACTTTTGGGAAAGTTTCAAGCAGATAGCTTTAAAACTATGCAAACTAGTCCCTCAGGAAATACTTTAACGATGGCAAGCCAACTTTTAAGTTTACCGATACTCGGTCCGTTTAAACACGCAATTTTTAGGTAAATTAGTCCGTTATTTAATAATACTATTTGCCAACCGTTCATTGTTTAACTATTTTGGAACTTTGATGGAAAATAAAATAATAATAAAATAAAATAAAAAAAATAAAATAATAATAAAATCCACAATATGTTCTTTGAGTATTCTTCTTTATATTTGGATAGTTCAAGCTGCGTTAGTTTGCAATTTTAACTTTTTGAGGCAACATTTTTAAAAAGAAATTTTATGTTTTGACTGACAATTATTTTGATCTAAATGTTCAAATAACGTTTTTAATACCTGCAAGCCCAGACCAAACTTTGCCCAATAATCAGGCCAACGTACGCAGATTGCGTAAAATACATCATTATCAGCCGGGGCATGAATTTAAGCCCCAATATCAGAAAACGTGCACGTGTCGATCTGAAACACCATTTTGTTTCCATAACAGGAACATCAAATCGTTAAAAGATTAGAAATGATCTTGAATGTTTAAAGCTGCAAAGAAGAGTTAAGTCAAAAAAATATGGCTTTAAAAATTTGATCACTTTTTGTGTTTAAATAGTTTTTAACATTAAAACCAAAACATTAAAAATACAAATTGTTAACCATAAATTATTTGATTATCCCTTTTGGTTCAAAAGTGATGATTTTTGCAAAGAAAAAAGTTTGCGTTGTATGTCTTTGGACGCATATTAGTCTTCTAATGCACGCAAGAAGTTAGCCATTTGAGCCCATTATTTCACATGCTTAAAACGACATAGAATGACAGCTTATGAACTATCTAGTCTAACTTCTTACTAGATTATACTTAAAACTATTGTATCGTTTTTTATATTTAAAAATAATAGTTAAAATCTGTACTTTGAAACGTGGAAATATTCTTGCAGGAGTCCCAAAGGACTTGGACCGAAATAGAAGCGTCCGATTGTCAGGCACCTTTTAGCTTGAATAGGTTCTTTTTTCCTCTTCAACACAACCAGAATAAATAATATTTGTGCCTAAGTAGTCAAAATTAGTTTTATCTTTCGTCTGAAACTCTGTTTTTACAGTTAAACAGATCTTTTGTACATTTTATAAATTTTTAGGGATAATAGCAAAAAAACAGTATTAAGTAGGTATTATTATATAACATACTAAAAAATGATATATTAAAGGCGACTAAGTAAGGTGCTTAAACTTTACCCCCGAACTGCGGGACACCAAACCAGAGCAAGCTTTTCTTCGATCAGTTGCAACAATTCTAAACGAAGGTTTCCCTCAAAATTTAAAATTTACCCTCGATTTTATGCATTAGATCGGGGGTTGATTTTTCGCCTTAGCGCCTAAAAGGAGATATATTATTTTATTTTTATTGTTTTGGACCCTAAATTTTATTAATTTTCAATATCAGTAAAAAGTATAATTCGATTTTTTTTTACAGTTTTTAGACCTGTTTTTCTTATATTATTTTAT